AATGTCTCTTTCTCCGTTATAAAATTAATTTATTATTATTATTTTAATTTTAGACTAATGAATTGAATTCTTAGACTAAAAAAAGAGACATTGAGCACTAGCAACACAGGCTATCGGCTCTAATTTAAAAAAATGGATATTAGATAATAAGCTTAGTAGTATTAATAAAGGAAAATATTGAATTGATATTCTGTTCTGAAGTTGATTGTAGAATGTACAAAGGGTTAATCGTTCCAAATGCAATACTTCTAGCCAAGGAAAAGTTGAGGCAGTCGCAGAGAATGTGCTTTATAGTAAGAGTTTGTCCACAACAGCAGATTGGGGGAGAAGACTTCTTCAGGATCCATTGGTGAGTTGCAATTGGATCTTGGTTTTCTCAACATTTGTTGGATATAGAGGTGGAGTTAATTGAGGGTTAATGCAAGAGTAGTGTTGATGATGGTATTGTAAAATTAATTTAATGTACAAAGCAGTTGTAGGAATTGAATAATTGCGAAAAAAATGAAAGAAAAGAAACTCAAAAATATTAATCGACTGAAAAATTGAAGCAACTTGCGTGTTGTATTCTGGTATGTGGATTTATGCAGAAGTTCCACCTTTCCAAAGCGGATTTTCATTACAATCTGGGAAAAATTCGTATAAACGGCGATAGCCATGAATTACCAATGACTGAAGCGTACCGACCATGCTTACTAACTACAGTTTTGGAGCATTTCTCTTGTTCGCTGATGTATTGTACAAAGTGGAAGAAGATAATATGAATACTCCAGCACCGACAATGCATATACAAACACCATTATCGCAAGATTATGACATGAAATTTATAAACCTTTATAACAATCTTCAAAATATAAGTCATTTTTAAAATTATAGCTCGCAAAAAAATGCACATAAAAATTAAATAAACATTGAAAGTATTACTCCCTATTTTGATTGAGAAAAACTTTTTGTACATTAACATATCATTTTCCGACCTAACACAAATTCCCCATAATTTTCGTTTACCGTATAAGGTTTATTCATACAAAACAAAAAAACGTTAATTTGCCTCTTTCTCAGTTATTAACCCATTGTATTGGAAAATTGGCGACAATGATACATGATTAGCCTCTTGTTTCTAAACTTGACGCACTGCGTGTATAATTCTTTAATTTTTTTTTTTTTTCTACAAGAAAATTATTTTACTGTTGTCTTCGCCATATTTATGGGGAAATTCTGCAAATGCAGTAAAAAAAACCAATTGCAAAAAATTGAAACATTTGGTCACCTTGAACTATAAGCATGGCGGTCACTTTAAACGGTGCAGATAATGGAAATAAAATGATTAATGAGAATAGGGAGAAAGAGCTAGTAAAGACCAAAGTTGCTTAATTTTGAAAAATGGATGTATGTGTAATGAAATTTGTAATTAAATTTACATCATAAATTGCAATTTTCAATTTCTTGTAAATTTTGTACTTTTATTGAGCATATCACCCACTTTGATATTATTGACGGGTAGAGGACAAGCGAGAGGAAGAGCTTAGCTATTGAGTTTACAACAACGGAGAACTAGTTAGTTTTTCATTTCTTTAAAAGTATATAATAAATACAATATATCGTGTATACACTTTTGTTAAAAAAAAAAAAGTAATTAAAAACAGATTTTATTTTTAAATATATTCGTCGGCGTATATTCGTTCTGCGGTTTCCAGTGGCGTTCGGTCCGCCATGTTTAGTGTTGACGATAAATCCAGGAGAGTGGATGGTTCGTGTGGACCCTCCAAAACTATTTGTGGATCTATTTCATATTGTTCAATTAATATCAAGGGTAACTCTCTATGTATTAGTAAGTGTCAAATTAGCACACAGCAATAGAGTCGTAAACAGTCTGTTGAAGTATTTCCTACTGTGGGATCGGAATTATCACCAACCAACACTGAAAAGCTGTATTGGACCATCCACTTCGATTTGCATCTTGATATTTCTTCAATGACCTTTACAATCTGTTTGAGTGAAAAAGCCGTGTTGCTCTTCGTGTTGCTGTTGCTAAAGGTTACTTTTCTTGCTGTACACTTTTGGACCTGGAGCTCAACATTGTAAATTAACGTAGACAATTCACGAACATTATTATTATTAATGGAGCAAACGAACAAGATGGAGGAGGAGAGGAAGATAGGTAAGGTTATTTTGAGTTCTGAGTTTATTTTCTGTTATTTATTTGTTTTTCAATTTTTACATTTTATTTTAATTAAATTAAATTAGTGAAGGTTTAATCTGTTTTAAATTGAACAATTCCAAAAAAAAAAGTATGGAGAGTTGCGGAGCAATTAAAAAAACTTCTAATTCCGATAATCGCATGATAATTTTAGCAAAGCGAAATCCCCAGAAGACGTCTAGAGCACCTTCCATTGAATTGCTGTGTCATTCCGAGTTGATCGTTGAGGGTGATGGGGTTGCCAATCTACAAAGAAGAATAGCTTGGAAAGTTCCTTTGCTTAGAACAGGTAATTTGAAGAACCAGAAATAGTCCATAAAAATTGGCGGAGAGGATCTATTTTTTGAATACCATCGCATCCAAGCATTCTCTTGAAACGTAAACCTTTATACGCCAAAAAGGTCTAATTGTTGATTTTTTGTGATGAAAATTTGTTCGCCATAGTAATTTAATATAAAAATTAAGTGAATCTAATTTAAACCACATAGGTCTATTACTTCGTTTCACTACGTACACAATATCTCATGAGTAGGAAGCCCTTTGGAAAAACTTTACATTTTTAATATTTTATAATGAAAGTTAATTCCTAGTAACGATTGAGCCAAAAAGTTGACCATAGGGAATTTAGATCACATAGGTCTATTTTTTTGAATCCTAACATAAAGAGCTTTTGAATACTTGCTTTCATAAATTTTTGCATTCTTTTTCTTCTTTCTGAAGTTTTTGTCAGATTTCTTTTCTAATCAGCCTAAATCCTACAGGCACTATATCTTAGACAAGCTGTTACGTGGAGAGAAAGTCGAACCTTCCAATATGGGCTTTCATGTAAGTTATGAGACAGAGAGAGATAGAGAGAGCCAAGAATCCTCTAACAAAAAGTGCGTTGCGTGTGTTTCAATTTCAAATTCATTGATTCTTTAATTGTATAATTTTTCATTGAAGCTCGTGCAACACGAGACTTAATGCGAGTTTTTGCCAAACTTTTAAAATTAATGCACAATGTGCTCACGGAAGCGAAACGAAATTCGGTTTTGATTCCAATCATTTTTTGAAATATCACAAAACGAAAGATACTTGCGCTATGTCAAAAATTTTATGATTAACTTTAAATATTAAGAAAATACAAAATCATTTATTTATATACTTTACATACTTATTTTACACATTTTTTTTATATTTTATTTTTACATTTTTGAATATTTTTTTAAATATTCTTAACAAATGTTATTTATATACGCGATGTACGATTGTTTGAAATTCTTTGAATTTGCTTTGATGCTGTCTTTGCTATACGTGCTTATCAATTTTTCTGAGAGTAAGAGAGTAAAATTTTTTCCTCGCGATAAGAAATTATACAACTCTTTCATCAAAAAACTAAATTTCAAACTCATTCACTGCGGATTGGATTGAGTGAACTACCTAAATATCTACAGAGGCAATTGTATCTATATATATAATATATGTATCTATGCAAAAGCGCGCCTTTCACACACAACTAAAATATATGAGGAGAAAATATGTTACTCTTAGAAAGAGAGTTTTATTCACAGCAAAGCCAAAAACCATTCAGGGAATTGCATAAGAAATGTAATGTATGTGGAAAGTAAATTTTACTCTCAGAAGTAAAATTTTATTCTCAATAAAGTCAAAAATCTTTCATAAGAAATGTGCAGGAAAGTAAATTTTACTCTCAGGAAATAGAATTTTATTTTCAACAAAGCCAAAAATCTTTCAAAATCAAAAAGCAAACGCAAGATGAGCGAATGAAAAAATGTACAAAATTTTAGATTTATATATGCATATGGTATGCAAACAATAGTTAAAAAGCGGTGATTCCCTCCTTATTTTTTTCTCTCACTAATACCAAACAATTATTATTATTATTCATCCATAAAACATTATAGATATTCAGAGTTACCAAAATTTGCAAATGTTATCAAGTAACTAGTAATTCGCCAATGTTGGCAAAAAATTCAATTTTTACGAAAATAACAAATGGTAATCAAATGAGATGTCAACACAGCCAAAGAAAACAAACATGACTGTAGGCAAACTGCACGTATATCGTAAACAGATTGCGAAACGTTTGAGTTATACTTTTTTCCATTACGAAATTATCACATTTCCTTTATCGGGATATGATATGATTCTAAACTTTAAGTATGTTTGTGCACCTGTCTTTTTGTTATTGAGAAGTCCATGTTCTTATATTAAAAGTACTTTAAATATGAAAGAATTTAGTTTAATGAAAATTTTTCACACATTTTAGTTTTTCATTGTGCCATTGCGTTCCGTTCTTGCATTCATCCAATTTTTATGAGCATTTGTGATTAGCGAGATTTGAAAGAGAGTAAAATATCATTACCGAACAAGCACTTCACTTTTAACTAAAGGCACAAAGAAGGAAATTCTGGCACTGATTATTTATGGCGTTAACTAGGTTTCATTTTCAAGTTTCGAATTCGTCACAAGAGGTGAGTTGTTTAGAGCATTGCATTTTGAAGGCAAAACGGCTATAAATGGAAAATAATTTAAACTCCAAACAAAAAGCTGAAAGAAAAAAATAATTTTAAGTTTGCGAAAGCTAACTAAATTAATTGCTTTTTTTGTCTAATTAATACTCTTAATTTGTCAAAGCTTGTAATTAATTTCGTATCACCAATATTTCCATAAGTTTACATATATATTGTCACTATTATTGACAAAGCGTAAAGGATCAACAAATATTAAAACCCTATCACTCTATTGGATATATTGGTATTATTCCTTTTCAGAGATTTCCTTACGTTACGTAGTAATGCAGGCGTGTTCTTCAACCGATTAGGCGCATTTTAAATACCAACCTGCGTGCAAGAAATTCCAATATTTCTGCCAAATTTGAAGTTGATAGACGGACTGTTGCCCAGACGGACATATTTAAATCAAAATTTGATGCTGATCAAGAAGGGAAATTTAAGGGAATTTCGAGGCTGCCTTGTGTTGTGTTGCAAACGTTGTGACAAATTAAATATACCTCTCACCCTTCAGCGGTGGGTAAAAAAAACGAAAGCAAGTTTTATATATCCAGTATACGTAGCAAGATTCGGAGCCGTTCTCGATCCTTTCATCTGCTTGCAAAAGTAGACCAAGTTTAGAGTCAATATTACCTTCTGAGCATGAAGCTTTGGGTAATTTAATCGAAATTATTTATGACAAGCTAAAATCGTGTGTGTAGTTGAGCTTTGCATTGCAATACATTGAGAATTGAACACAACCCTGCAAATATAGTCGGGCAATGATACTTTTGAACTTTTATGCCACGTAAGCAATTCAAATTTCTTTAAAGCCGTTTGGATATCACTTTTTAATATTTAAGAGATCGTTTAAGGCGATGGAAAAACATTAGAAATAAAAGTTTATAAGGTAGTATTGCTTTTAAAATAGAAAGAAGGAACTCTTCTTAAATTATAAAACTAGATATTGATAAGGCTTATGAAAAATTGTCCCGGGACTTTTCACTTATTTAATTAAATTATGAAATATTTCCAAAAGAGCACATAATCTGAGTGTTTTCTAAACCATATGAAAATGTTTTCTTTAATGGATTCGAACAAAAATTATGACTTTCTGATAAAAATGAGTATTAAATATTCATTTAAGAGAAATTTATCTTTCAGCGTGATTTGCGACGAATCAAAAACGCTCTTTCAGAAAATGTAGCATTAACTAGGATCTTTAAAAACACATAACGAGAGGAGATCTTCTCGAAGATAACTAATGTTTGATAACGCTCTGAAGCGGAATGAAAAAGAAAATCAGGAATTGCCATTATATTCTTAAGTAATTTTCGGTACTTTTTTTACACGATTTTCATAATTCCTGGTGAAATTTAAGGAAAGAGGGGAATGAAAAGGAAAGCCAGGAATAGCCATTTTATATTCTTAAGCAATTTTTGGAACTTTTTTTACACGATTTTCATAATTTCTGGTGAAATTTAAGGAAAGAGCGGAATGAAAAGGAAAGGCAGGAATTGCCATTTTATATTCTTAAGCAATTTTCGGAACTTTTTTT